TCATTCTCAATTAAGTGAGTCGTCTGCATCTATCAACATGACTTAACTCATCATCAGTCAGTGATTTCAAAGACTACTACTAATACCACACTCCCTGATTTGGTTGCTCCTAGCTTTCCTCTAACTTATCCCTACCACACACTAGCTAGGATTGTAGTGAAGGAGAACACAGGTGAGAGCAACCGAATTTATTTATCTCAAATTACAGAGTTAATTGGTAAAATAGCAAAAAACCATATCGTAAACGGTTAATTTGCAAATCTTCAATCCATCATCAATCCATTGTCTGACATTTCACTGTTCATGCTATTTCATACAAATCCCATTGTGTTCCCACTCTTCTTCCTTTCTTGATCTTCCTCCATCTTCTGCTGCTGTCAGACATTACTTTTTTAACTCACGTCATATACTACTTATAAGTAGCGCGCACCAGCTAGGATTATTTTCTGTCAGATATTCAATTATTTCAATGCTATATCTATATTGTTTGTTTTAAATTTCAGGATGATGATAATGATGTTGCAACTTATCCACCGACAGTATTAGAACCACAAGAATTATCTACTTTACATATGTTAATTGATTCAAATTATTATTTCTTGCCGAATTCTAATGAATGTCGTTTACTAGCCTATCGTCTATCAGATGAAGGTGATTGGCGATCATGGAGTAATTTATATACATCCGGTGTTTGGACTGGAGATGAATGTACCGCCACCACTACCACCACTAAGGAGGAGGAGGAGGAAGCGAATCATGGAAAGAATGAATTAAAAAGAACACCAAGTGGTACAAGAAATTCAAATCCTGTGAATAATACTACTGATACAGATGAACCAATTACGGATAGTGTTAATGTTGCTTTAACTCGTGCACAACACCTGGAAGAGAAAGAACGTCGACGTTTGTTATCGAATAAATTTAATTTTAGTGAATTTTGTACAGATTTATGGGGTTATATTGATCCAGTGGAATTATCTCATATGTATAAAATGCTTAAAGATATGATGATGACGATGACAACGATGACCAATGCAATGGAATGGCCTCAATTCACAAATGAGAATGATATGATTGATTTGAATCGATTTGAATGTTGGCCAGCTAGTCCATATCAATTGTTAAATTTATTACGATTAACACTTTGTTATTTTGAATCGAAAGTAAGTAGTAGTAGTAGTAGAAGTGGTAGTTCATGACTGGTCATGACGACTTTAAGCCAATAGATGGCAAATTCAAGCTCTACTCCGCATGCTTAGGTTCGGCCAACTAGGTTGTAGTTTCACATTGGCCATAAACCAAAACATGGCACAAATCTATGAAGTCGTTGACAAGTGAACTGAGTCATGTTGGTAGATTTAGACTATTTCGTTGGGGTCCGCGAGGCAATCATAACTGGCAGTTAAAGACCTTGAATGATATGGCTCAAAATCGTTTGCAATGGTACAGGTGCATGCACTCTTTGTTTTCTCTGAAATTCTCATCTTTTGGATTCCTTATCATCTCTATCTTTCTCTTTCTAACTTTATCTCACGGAATTATACTTCTCAAACCACATCTTCGAACCCTTGTCTATTACCGTTAATACTTCAACTATCTCTACCACTATGAGATTGGAACTGACAATTGCGTCTTTGTGGTGATGGGATGTGACAATATGAACTTACGTATGTAGTTCTACGTTGTAACTGACTGACTGGTCACATTGGTCGTGGAATTTGAAGTGTGGTGAATAAATGGATGCCCGTCATTGATCTCTCAATTTTGTGCACTATTAGGCGGATGATTTCAGTTTTCAGCATAAATCATACGTGACTTTTATTGAAGCTATGTAGTAAAGCCAGAATTCAACTATTTCTACTGTTCCGTTTTTGGTTACAATAAGTGGAACGGAAAAATGTTTTGTATAGAGTTGAGTTATTATCATTCATGCCATTATAATTGCTGTTGGTATCGACTCATCAGGCCACATCACTTGCAAGGAATAGTCATTCTACAATCTTGACACTAAAACTGAAATAGGCGAGGCCTTGGCTAGAAGTTGTGGCCAAAAGTTGCACATCGTGACCTTGTAATCAGTGCTCTGCCAAGAGAGCGACATCTTGACGAAAAAATGTCTACGAAATTACAAAAAAAGAGCACCGAAAAAGAAACTTGCGTCCAAGTGTAAATTATAATTTTTTATCTCCACGTAGTTACAAATTTTCAGTTAGAGTTTTGGAGATTTGTGTTTTTACACATTTGAAATCATCGATCAATCATTGTTAGACAGCCATTAGAAACCTGGAAGCACTGGACAGCTGTTTCATCCTGGTATGGGACTCATCAGCAGTGCGCATCCACGACTCCTGCACCTCGCAGTATTCAAACCCGGGACCTTCGGTATTGTGCACGAACGCCTAACCATCGGACCAAAGGGCCGGCATCCAACGGTGTTAATGTCTAACTCTGATTGATCTAGGGATTTTGCGTGACCTCACCCATTTATCTGTGGTAGTTACTGCCTACACTCGACAGGGTTGAACTCCATTGGTCACGTCTTCTCACTAGAACTCCAAGGATTTCTTCACGAAGCTGGTTCCATAGGTTCGGTGTTCGCGCACAAGACCTAAGGTCCCGAGTTCGAATCCTGCGAGGTGAAGGAGTCGTGGATGCGCACTGCTGATGAGTCCCATACAGTAGGACGAAACGGCCGTCTTTCAGTGCTTCCAGGTTTCTAATGGTTGTCTAACTATGATTGACTGATGATTTCAAATGTGTCATTACAACTATTTTCTTCGCTCGCTTCAATATCGATTTTTATTGATTTTTTTTGTACGCTTTAGATTCCACTAGCATTTTACACTCCAGCTTGGCGAGTGCATCGTACCAATTGGATTAAAGATGTATTACATTCGAAATCTCCATCGGATTTAGCCTTTGTATTGGCCAGATTAGAAGCATCAATTCGTTCTGTGTGTTTTCAACGTGTCTGGTTTAATTCACTTGGTATGTTTTTTTTTTATTAGGAAGGAATTAATTGACCTCGACGCCATTTTTTATTGATATTATGAATAAAAATTTGTTAAAGTATGAACAGATGCTACCATTATGACTCTGTGTCTATAGTTGTAGCTATACCTGGCTGTGAAGCATGGTCACTCAGAGTAGAAGATATTTGTAGGCTGCTGGTTTTCGATCATACGTGCCTATGTAGCGTTGTTCGTTTATCATGGGACAAACGAGTAAGTAATGCTCTTGTTAGGAAACAAGTGCCAGGTAAGGGTGGCAGATCAATAGACGAAGTATTGAAACACCATCAGTTGAGGTGGTTCGGACATGTGCTGCGCATGCCCAACCACCGACTGCCTCGTCGAGTGATGTTTTGCGGTGTAGGTATAGGCGAGAAGAAAGCTTGGGGTGGCCAAACCAAAACGTGGCACAAATCCATGAAGTCATTGACAAGTGGACTGAGTCATGTCGGTAGATGTAGACTACTTGGTTAGTGTCTGCGAGATGATAGCACTCGATGGTGAGAGATCTTGAATTGCATAGCTGAAAACCGTTTCCAATGGCGTAGGTGCATTCATTCTTAACCTTTTGTCTTCCTCATCACCTTTCTCTTTTAAGTTGATTTCAATAGATTCTGTTTCCTGAATAATATCGTCGAACCCTAATTTCTCTGATTACTGTTAATACCTTTACTACCTCTACTACTAAGGGATTTGAATTGACAATTACATCTCTGTGCTAATGTGCTGTGGCAACCTAAACTGATGTACGTGCGTACAAAGTTCTACGTCGCTGTTGATGATGATGATGAGTTGTATTAACTAGGCTCGATGGATTAGTGGAAGTTTTGGCAAAAAAGAAATCATAAATGTTTCACTTTCTTTTCATTTTAAAATAGGTCATTTAACTTTGGAACGTATGACAGCTTCTCAAAGAGAAGAAGATAAACGTTTAAGACAGTTTGATCGTTTAAATTCAGCTGCTGGTGGTGTTGCCGGTAGTACTGTGAATGCAGCATATCTACCGGCAAATCTTATACGTACAAAAACTCCTCGTCCGGTTAGACATACAGTGTGGAAGACACGAGGTGAAGAATATCGTCGTCTAGGTGGTGATGGTTGGATGTGGCTAAGTGCAACTCGTAGTAATGCAGGTCGAATGGCTGAACATGCTCTACTTATACATCCTTCAATATCCTCTAGTCGTCAGTCGGAATCGACAGTTCCTCCTCCTGCTCCTCCATCAGGCAGTCGTTCATCAGCAGCTCATCGTCGTGGTAATCTACGTGGTCTTCAACATGGAATTGGCTGGGGTGTTTGTCCGGAATATTTACAAGTTCGTTCTTGTATATTTATTTTATCTAGCTGGATATTAATGATGATTATTTGTTAAAAACATAATTGTTTTTTTAATATTGATCGACGATTTCAACAAAATTAAACGGGGACTGAATTTTTTTGCGAGAAAATATTTACTGTAAGTCATCTCTAGTGTGATATGTAGGCGGTTGGCATAATTATCGGTTGCCCACACTGTTGATGTCCTTGAAGCGAAAACAGGGTTATGCGTGGTCTTGACAATCTGAAAGCGTAACTACAGTGCCCATGCCAAAACTACCTAATGCTAGTCACACACGACCTTTGTGCAAGTTGAATTCTTCTACGTCTTATCATGCCAGGCAGGTTGAGGGGAGAACGATAAGACTAACAGCAACAACTTGAAGTCCGAGAGTGAAGTCGTGCTGTTGATTGTAGAGAGGTGTGATAGCCAGTAAGGTGTTTCTCTCAGACAACCAGCATCTGCAGCGATGCTACCTTCTTACAAGTAACGAAGGGGTTAGAAAAGGTCGACCCTAAAAATGTCACATCTCATCTTACCTCACGGATTTCCTTCTCCTGCGGTAAGGCCTTTTAAAAACAAGAGTGGAGATAACACTTTAAAAGCTTCCGATAAAAAGGCCGTGCGTGACCGACCTCAAGCATTTTTCCGTTGGGCTCTGGGGTCACGCTCCCAGGTCTTTAAGACCAACACTAACCCACCTTCCTTTTCAGGTTCCTCAAGAAGCACTCTTCTACGGTGTGGGCAACCGGGAAGTGACGTCTGCTCTCACACCCGTAACAGTACACGAAATAAAATCGGTTACAATCAATTCCTTCCTAGACCTCCTAACATCTCTCCTATTTCCACGACTCACCCTGACTGACAACTACTATGTTTGACACACTTAAGACCCAAAGAAACAAGAATCCCAACCGATGTAACTCGATTGAGTCGTTTACGATGTGCCACCTCCGTTCAATTGACTAATCATTTTTCCTGTTAATGTTTTAGGTATATGCTACGTTCTAAAATCATCCCTAGTGTTCTTTCTAATTATTTATTTTCAATTTTGTTATTGTTGTTGAAAGGATCAAATACCTATTAAACCACCAAAAGCAAGTGAATGTCGTGGACATGTACTACATCCAATTACTGGTATACCATTATATTTAAATCCTAAACGAAATCCTTATATTCTCTCACCGGATATATTACGTAATCTAAATGAACAAGCCATCCGATCATCATTGTCAACAAACAACAGCAATAGTCAATTAAATTCTTCTTCATCTCATGTTGATGAAGATGTGAAAAAAGTCGATCCAGTTGACAGTGATCCTATGATCATTGTAAATAAAACAGAAAATGATGATCTAAAGAATGATCCTGTTCAGAAAATCGATACCGATCCGCCTGAAAATGTATCGCATGAAAATTTGAATCAATCCGAATTGAAAATTGAACAACACACCGATTCAGTTTCAAATCAAACTTCATCTATCAATAATAATAATAATAATAATAATAATAATAATAATAATAATAATAATAATAATAATAATAATGATCACAATGATAATAAAACTGATGAAGACTATAAGAATCCTGTGTTGAATATTTCCTATGTAAGTTTTGTTTCTCTCTATATATAAAATTGTTAACGTTTTCAATCTTGAAGGTAATTTCAACAGAAAGCTAGTGGG